ATATACTTTTTTTAAACTAATGACTTTAATGCCAAAACTTTGCTGAACCAAGAAAAATATGGGTTTAATGTTCTCTGCTCATTTTTTTTCTTCTTTAAAAAAAATACAACCCAAAAAAAAGAAAGGGAAACTTATTAGTATGTAATGTTTGAGTCTATCCCATTTATACACAACATTGTAAACATATATAATCTATATTACATGTGCTTCATTTCTGCCTGTGTTTTTTTTTCTTTAAACCTTTTTTTTTTATCACTAGAACACCACAAAAAACCAAAACAGAATCAAACCAAAAACCAAACCAAACCAAACCAAACAAAAACAAAACAAAAAACTGAACAAAACACAAGTTACAGGTTATTTAACATCTTTCTGTCAAGGGTCCCTTCCCCAGTCTCCTGGGAGCAGAGTGGTCAACAACACAGTCCAAAAGATGGCTCACGAGCCATCCGCGATGCAAAGCCAGCTCCAGGGAATGGGTGGATGGGGAATACTGGTTTTAAAAAAGGGGGCTTCACAACAAAGGGTTTGGTTTTGCCCGCTGCAAATGCTGAAGGAGGTCTCAACACGCGGGACCTGGGAGCCAAGGCTCCCCACTGCTCCTGTATCCTCAAGTCCGTGTCTGGAGTCTCTGGTTTGTTTTTTTTCTTTAAATTTTAAAACGTCTCTTTTTTTTTTGTTGTTGCCGTCGTTCTTCTCCCCCTTGGTGTGATGAGCTGAGCCGAGTAGCTGGGTCCCGCCCACCCGCTGGGTCCTTCATAAGTAGATGCGCCGAAGGTCTCCAGGAGACGTGATGGTGTTACACTGGGGACAGAGCTTCTTGGCACCCTGCAACCGGCAGACGAGATGAACAGCGTGAGAGAGCGAAGGAGGAAAACCCGCCTGACCCTGCCCTTGGCCTGGGATCTCGGGGGGAGCAGCACAGGAGCAGGGGCAGCAAGGCCACCCCCCTTCCCCTCCAGAAAGGGCCATGCCCTCCCAACAGCGGGCACAAGCTGTGAGAAGCGGGAGCCCCAACACCTTTCCCACTTGCCCTGCTAACCCCTCATCCCGCTCCAGTCCCCGGCGCGAGGCAGCTGGGCAGGCAGGAGCTCTGCAGGAGGCTGAAACCCAGAGCCACGGTCTGTCACCAAACTCAGCAGCTCCACGAAGAGGAGTATCTGCAGACGGATCAGCCTGAGCCCCCTGTCCCACTGCGCCATCACTGCTGGCTGCCAGGCAGATCTGCTCCTTTCGGCTTCCCTTGCTCACCGGCAGCCCTCGATGAGCCAGTTCAGGTCACTGAGCAGGCAGGAAACCAACCCAGCTGGAACAAGTGCAGTTTTCAGCTGGGATGACTGAACTGGTTCATGGGGGAGTTGGACCATCCCTTTCAGGGCAGCATGTCAGGGGATTGCCTCGGCCATCCTGCAAAAGCCCCAGAACTGCTGGCATGAAGGAAACCCCTGTCCTGTTCCCACCCAGCTTGCAGAGATGCTGCGGAGATGAGTCTGTTCTGCCAAGGTGAGCTGAAACCAGCAAACTGTGATGTGAGCTGGGGCGAGGTAATGGGCGGCCGACACGAACACTACATGAAATAAAACAAGGGCTGATGTGCCATCTGTCACCGAGCCTGACAGCAAGAGGGTGTTAATAAGCCTCAGAATCGGGGTCAACCTAAGCCGGTCATCATTAGATTGGCAGATGTGACAGACAGTTGATGGGAAAAATGACAGAAAGATGGCTGTGCTGTGAGGCAGCCTGCCGTCTACAGCAGCAGCAGCGCAGGAAATTGGGATGCCCTGGCTTTCAACACTGACCGCAGCCTCGATACAACCTCCTGCCACACAGAACTGAGCACAGGCCCTGTCCGAGCACCCCGAGTTTTGCTCGCTGCTGTCAGACAGGCCCTTCCAGCAGCTAAACGCCCAGCGCTCGGTGTGACAAGCGAGCTGATGGATGCTGTGTGAGAGCCTGCCAGCTTGCGCGGGGCTTGCTGGCAGAACTGAAGCCGTTCGGTTCAGCGATGCTGCTGCTCTCCCCTAGCAGGGCTTGTTTCACTACCGGCAGCACTGAGTGCGGCAGCTTGCAGCACGTGGACTGAGTGGCAGGGGGGGGCGCTGGCCCGACCCACCTCTCAGGGGGGCGGGGCGGGTCTTGGCCCTGCCACACTGCTTCGGTACTGCTACCTGCATCTTGGGGACATCCCTAGGAGAGGAGCTGGCACTGCTGCTTACAGAAGGTAAGGATCCTTAGAAAAGGACTTCTCTCTGCTCTGTGACAACACCTGCAGAGGGAGGACAGGGGCTTTCTCCCCTGGCAGAGAGTCCCAGGTACAGAAAATTTACATGAGTGCAGGTAATTCATGAGGATGTCGCTCTGAAGAAGTGCAAGTCATGTTTGCTCTGCAGTCTTGAGTACTACCAAAAAGTCCCTGCAGACCAGTCTCAGACCAGCCCCCTCCCTGCTCCCAGTGCACATTATTGCTGGCAGACGTGGACTTTGCACGTTCACTGTTCCCTGAGCTTTGGCCTCCTGAGCAATCAGGCTCCCATTTGATATCCCTGGCTGCTGCCCTGACACACGTGGGAACCACGGGGACTTGCACCCGAGATCTAAAACAGCCGCACACCAAGTCTGGGTGGTGCACCTAGCTCTGATTCTGATGCCTGCAGGCGCATCCTTCTAAGTGTCTGGGACCTATTTTATGCCCTAACTACTGTGTTTAGATTTTCAGCGTTCTGGGGCTGGGACCATCTCACTCTGCCTGTGCAACGCATCGGGCAGCCCTGTCCACTGGTCTTCACAGAGTGGACTTGGCATGCTGGATTCTGGGAAGAGTAAGCACAAACCCCAACTGGAAGGAAAGGCTTAGAACCCTGATGAAACCAAAGACTGACCGCACTGGACTCTAACAGAACCTGTTTATGTAACATGCCTCTTTGCTTGTGCTCAAGACCAGAGCTTTGGATCTCCAGCATCAGAAAAGGGCAAGCTCTAACCCTGCATGTCCCAGTAAAAACTTCCTGCAGCAGCTACAACAGGTAGGAGAGAAAAACCTAAACACCTGCCTCTTTTGTCACCTTTAAAGCCATTGCGGGCCAAGCTACACAGCAGCACTGCCAAGGAGGGGCTCACTAATCTGCATGCAAATGCCACGAAACAGCCTGGTTCAACTGAGTCCCCGCATCGCCATGCAGCTCCCTGGACCCCAGCGGTGCCTGTTGCATCTGGCTGGCCTCTTGGCATCATCTTTGTAGCTGGAGGGTCCCAGGGGAAGTGGCAGGGAGGTGCTGAGGAATTAATTCACAGCATGCTGTCAAAGGGGCAGTAGTTGGCAGCTGCCCGTTCGAGCTTTCCTGTGCGCCCTGACAAGCAGAAGTAAGTGTGCATGGGGACTTTAAGGCATTCCAGATGTGACTACTGCACACATCTGCGTCCATGCTCTCCTTCCCCAGACAGGCGCAGCTTATTGGCAAGAGGCAGCAAAGCATCCAACCAAGTAGCTGGGGCTTCTGCCTGTCTGGACAATGTGCCAGGGAGAGGTACCTTCTGCAAGACCAGTCCCCTGACCCATCAAATGCCTCAGCCTGCCTTCAGTCTGTGGTGAAGGATGAAGGGAAGTGCTTGCTGCCACCTAAAACCATGCTCCCCTATTCCACAGTGCTCCTGTGCAATCCTGGACAGCATTTCTGCTGTTTATTTTCCTTTAGCTCTGCTGAAGTTGGAGGTGGGTGGGGAGGAGCACTGAACTCCCTTGAGTTCATTTTTGCTAAAAGCAAACCTCAGCTGCTGCCATCTCACTGCCTTGCATCTCGTGCTCCGTTCTGGGATTTGGAGGTGGACTGAGACAGCTGCAGGCAGCTGTGTGTGACACTTAGCAAGGGCAACCTCGCTAGCACAGACCAGACAGCTCAATGTGGGAAATTCTGGAAGGACAGATTCCTGGAAAGCCCCTCTGCCCAGGCCTCTCCAAAGGCTGCGCAGGTGCTCGCTGTAAGCACAAACCCCCTGCACTCAGCCCACAGGATGGCAGAACAAGCCTGATTAAACTGACTGCAGCTTTGCTCCTCTGTTCCAGGGCAAAGCAAGGGCAGGTATGCAATTCCTTCATACTGCTGGGAAAGGGAAGACGGGTGGATTTATCCTGCCAGAGCCTGGGATCTCTGTCCTGGAGATCTGCTTTCTGCACCACATGCTGATGGCTTTAGGGGGATCCACTCTCCCCACTAGGGCTGAGAGCTGTACGTGGGCAGCCAGGGCCAAGTTTTCGACCATGCCAGAAGGCAGAACCCAACCACATGTAGCTTGACCCATTTTCTGCAAAAGCTACGTGACTGCAGATTGATTTAGGGCAGTGGTGGATGTTGCTTCACCTGCACGTGGGAAGGGCAGCTCGTCTTCAGCTCTGAAGGCTGGGTACATTGGAGGGAACAACGGCATCCTACAGACCTCCAGCGGTCTGGCCTGAATGCTGCGCTGGCTGACTGCACGTGGCATGCCGGGCCCAGGTCTCTGGGTCTCCCTAGTACTTATGCTTAGTATTAAACCGTTCAAGCAAAAATAATGACTTTGGACCCTTGGGGAAGCCTTTTTCTTTTTTCTCTCTTTTAAATAAAACTGTCATCCTCTGCACACATAAGCTTGTATGTTAAATTCAGAACTAAGTCCTGATTTTTTCTTTTCAGATTGAAATTGCTTAGAACCTTGTTCCTTACATCTGACTTTTCGGTGTAGGTGTACAACATTTACTGGCACTAGCGTTTAAGCTCTCCTCTCTTGTAGAGAGAGGCACATAAGCTTGTACACACACACACGCTGGCACAGGCACAATGAAAAAGCGTTTGCTCCCCCACTGCTCACCTGCCAGCTGGGGTTACTAAACTTTTCCCTTGAAATAAAAATGCTGTGGAATAATAAGTCCCACCTGTCGGCCATTTCTTTCTTTCTTTTTTTTCCAGGTCCTTCTGCTCCTTTCATCATAGCTTCATGGAAAAGCCTTGATGTGTTATAGCTGCGTGTGCTAGAGTAAAGGCCACCTCAGCTTTTCCATTATAAACCCCAGTTTTGAGGGGTTTATAAAACTCTGCTGCAAGAAGTTTGCTCCAGGGCTGTTAGAAAGCAAAGAAAAGGGGCTGGAACCACGATGGAGTTTATTTTTTCTCCTCCTTTCTTAATTAAAATTTGGCAAGTGATTGATCCACAATACAGGCTAATCACTTGGGGTAGTAGTTTGAAAAATACATTAACGAGAGCTGAGATGTTGAGAAGTCGTTAGGGCTCACATGGTGCCAGGAAGGATTGGAGTATTTTGTCTTAAAGTTGCCTCTTAAAAAAAAAAAATGGCATGATGTCTGCTATAAATTGGCTAAAGCAAGAAAACTCAAAAGGAAGGATTTAGGCACTTCCTCCTGTCCTGTGGGTCTAAAAATGGGCAATTTCCAAGCAGAATATGCTACCAGGCACAGAGAATAAAGAGACACAGACAGACCAACTACGTCTACACAGTCCCACTGTCAAACCTGGGCTCAAAGCTTGCCTATTTTATAGGAAGGAAAACCAAGGCAGAGAGATGACAGGAGGGACCCAAACCCAGAGCAAGCTTCTACCAGGAGAGGAATCAAACTCCAAGGGCCAATTCTCAACCAAGGCGACAGCCCCCTCACCCCACGCCTGCACATGAAGCAGCAGTTTCTTCTCTGCAAATGCCAATTCCCAGAGAAGCAGCCATTCACCACTGCTGTTATGGGGTACTACGTAATGGGGTTAAAGCAAGCAGGACAGCATCCTTTTTCACAGAGTATCCTCAAAGGGTGGAGCTCACTGCCACAGGTTGTTGGAGGCCAAAACTGAAATATGTTAATAAATAACTGGACAACCTCATGGCAGATAGAACTTCACGAAGAATCAAGTGCAGCATCCTCCATGCAGCTTGCTGACTCAGGAGGTCCCTACGTTGCTGGAAGCACTAGGGAATCACCCAGAAGGGTTGCTCTGTATCTGCGCTGTTTCTTACAAAAACACTACAGCCCGCATGGGATATATGGTATTATAGCCTAGAAAAAGCAACAAGGCTAAGAACGTAGTAGTGTAATCTACCAAAGATATAAACATGTCAACTGCAGAACATACATATCTATCGATGGATCCCCTGGAAGCATATTCTGTGATGAAGGCGGCTTTTTAGAAGTGATTTTTTTCCTCCTCTTGCAGTCGTCATTTTCAAATAAGCCCAAGACAGGCAAGTACAAGCCTGGGGTGAGCAAATACACATAGGAAATGCTGGATCTGGCTGTACAGTCGACGGGAAACTCAGTAAACTGCACCTGCTCAAATAAACCTGCCCTCTTTCAGCCCCTGCATGCCTGCATCCCCCGACAGCTCCATCCACTGGCAAACAACAACCTGACTTAACTTTTAACTCCATTAACTTCGTAGGAAGGATACCAGGGTTTGGGAGATCACAAAACCACAGCTCAGAGGGATGTCAAGAACTCACAGACCCATTCCCCTGGCAAGATCGCCTCAACCTGAATTACCGCTGACGGACATGCATCAAACCTGTTCTCACAAACCTCCAAGGGTGTTGGCTCCAAACCCTCCCCAGAAAAGCATCACAGCAGATTGCCAATCTTTACTGTCAGAGCACTCTTCCCAGGAGACAGAAAACATGAATCTGACCCACTAGTAGCTGCAGGATCCCTCTCGGTTAATGGGGAAGGATAGCAAAGGGACAGACAAACCTCTTCCAGGGGGAGATTCATCCCTCATCACCCACTGACTCAGGGCTGCAGTCCAACAACCAGCTGAGGATAGACACCCTCCGTGAGGACAGGTGACGTTCAGGGAGATGAACTGCTGCTCAGGCTAAGCCTCCCTCCTGCAACACCATTTCCTCTCCTGTCTTTGAAGAACCTGCATGTGTTTTCACGGGTTTCCAAAAGGGATCACAGGGAAGTCACTCCAGGATAGTGTCCCAGTTTCTGCATAACTTGAAGATATCGACTAGCTCTCTGCATGCAGGATGAATGAAAAACGCCACTGTGCTGAGTGCCCCAGACAATCAGCAAGTAGGGAGTAGCAAGTTCATTCGTGTGGTTTGACAGAGCAATACAAACCCAGCAGACAAACCCAGCTGACAAAAGAGGTAGTATAAATTCCTGGGGACCCAGGCATGATCACATGGCATCAAGCAACACGTTCTTGTATCCCTCTCCCTGTCTCCATTCCTGTTGTGCCTAAAACCACAGAGCTGCCCACAGCGCATGCAGCACACAACACACCTTTAGCCTGCGTCCCCTGGACTGCAGCCCTCAGGCAGACTGGTTCTGCTCACAGAGCACGTGGAAGGAGAGAAAACCATTCAACTCATCATGTCCTGACGCTGAGTAAAGGGATGGTTCCTCCCTTTCTCCATGGCCACCATGAATAGGACTAATCAAGAAGCTTCTGTTGGCGCTGAAGCATTGGCTAACTCAGCAAGCACCATGATCTTGGTTCTCTTAAGCCATCTCCAGGGTCTCTTTCTGTGACCCCAGCCTTTCCTTCATGTTAAACCAACACAGCAACAAGAGATCTTGTTGCTCTTGTTGCCCAGAACCTGGAGTCACTTTGATGCACTGAGCTCTAGTATAACAGTACCTAAGCTAGGGAGCCCAGCAGCCATTTGTAGAGTTGGTGGTTAAAAATGTCTCCCCCTCTCCCTTAGCAAGAGAACGGTTAAAATCTGGAATTGGACATCAAGAGCCAAAAGTCCAAAAATTGTATTTTCAGAAAGCCTAAGTGCTTTAAAGATCCAATCCTCATCAGTGCCCTAGACTGGCACTAGTCAGAGGATGGAAGTCAGAGGATACTAGAGATGCTCAGATCATTGTAGCATCATATCCTAGAAAATGTTTAAACCTTAAACCTTTTAAAAAACACTTCACCTCCTCTGGTCCATAGACAAGACGTGAGCACCAAATTTCATGCCATCTCCAATACCCTGCACAGGTTTAGAAGTGTTCCCAGGCACTCTGAGCCTTCAGCTCCAGGGCCTTGTTCAGTACACGGTCCTCCCTCTCTCTCTCATAGACACACTCACACTCTAATTTAATATTAGATCTCGACTGGGCATATAAACCACAGGCACGCAGGAGAAAGGGGACTTTTCACCAGCAGGGATGGCAGATGTCCAGAATGTTCAAAAGGGGCCGGAAGCCCGACACAACCCGCCCGCCCCAACTCCTATTAACTCCAACAAATTGTTTATTGCACAACAGAAGAAAAATGTTGCCCCTCTCCCCCAGCCAAGTCTTTCCATGTGTGCTGCACGCGCAGGCTCCCTCCTCCCAGCCCCGCTGGGGAGCCAGCTTTATACCCAGGGAAAGGTAACAGCAGCGATTATTACACACACTATCCCACAGCTCCTCGCTTGTTAAAAAAAACAAGAGTCTCTTTTGTGCCCGAAATAAAAGGAGATACCTTAATTAGAACAATGCAGGTTGGTGAGCATTAAACACTGAGCCCAGCTGCTGTATGCCATTAAATTCATAAAAAAGGAGGGGGGAAGGAGGGCAGTCTTAACGAGATTACACACATTGACTTTGATCAAGACACAAAAGCACCAAGGCGTTCCAGGGTTTTTATTGCTGTCTTCGGGCTACATTTTAATGGTTACATTAGAAACATGCGAACACAGGCTGGGAGATTTTTTTTGAGACGGGAGAGAGAGTGCAAGCATGCCTTGTGAAAAGGCCTGGTTTAATAAATTGGGGGCTGCAGGGAGAGGCTAGGACTGGGGAACACATGAGTAGCCACTTATTAATTGCTTCCCCTATGCAAGTGCCAAGTCCTAATTCGATGTCTTGCTGGACTATTCCCATCCCGCCTGCCTGGTCGGCAGAAGAGCCACGTGTGGATAGCACACTGCCAGCTCCATCTTGACCTTCCTCATGGATACCTAGGGGGGAGATGACTCCCCTCTGCAAGGGCAAATGCTAACCCCATAGCACCTGAACTGGGGTTTCCCAGTCCTTACGAGCAGACGTGACCACTGCACATGAAACAAAGGGGCCTGACTGAAGTTGAACAAAGTTGCTGCTAAGCCTAAGAAGAGCCTGAAATCAGTGCCACAGAGTTAGAAGATGACTTGAGGCTGCTGGGAAGAGGTGAGGACAAAGACTTCAGAGTAAAGAAAATGAAAAAGAAATTAGTGTTTTATCCTCTGCTTGTAGCACCACTGAAGGATAAGATTACTCTTCACTTAGCAAAGGTGGCCGAGCACACATTCATCCAAACACCTCAGAGCTACGTACCCACATATGTGTCTTTTATAACATGCTGCTAAAATGTTTACAAAAGCTTGTATAATCTAAATAGTGACGGGGTGTAGCTGAAGAGCTATAAAATACAGCCCAAGGGATAGCCAAGTTATTGAGTTGCTATTAGTACTCAAGCCCACAGGCACTTCACCGTCCTGGTAACTTTTCTTGGACAAGACTTTTAAAAGGCAGGATTTAAAGGAGCATGATCGGCTTAATCGTAATTCCAAGCACACAACGTGTTCTATAAAGTAGATTTTGTAATGCCTTACAGGAACAGTTTTTAGGAGTGGCATTCCCTTACATTTTTTGCAACCCAACACTGTATCATCTTGCTAACAGGAGAACTAGAAAGCACAACTGACTATTTTCCACTCTTCAACCTGAGTAAAATGAAAGCTTGAAAATCAGCTGCACAGGGGACAGTAAAGGCTGATTATAAAGCCCACAGTTTTAACACAGGAAAGGAAAACACTTTATTCAATAACACCTTAAATTTTAACCTCATGTCCTTTAATACATGTATAAATTACTACCACACTGGGTCACCTATTCAGTGTTCAAAGTAGTCCCCAATCTTCCAAAGAGAATGGCATACACTTGAAAACTGCACAGTGCTATTTCAAATAATCTGAAAAATACAGATTCATATTCATAAAAGCTCCCTTCCATATCATCTATCCTGAAGATGATTCCCTTTGCTTCAGGGGAATATTAGGTTTCTCAGAAGCTACCCATTCCATGAAATCTCAGTGGATTTGGCCTCCATTCTCACAGCTTTACCTCTCTGCATGGATGCCCCACAGGAAATTACTGTAAGGCAAGGTTGTCCCTGGCACAGAGCTCTTACATGAGCAATGGCTTGTCCCCACAGCAGCAGAGGAGCAAGAGAGAGGCAGGACTGTGCTTTCGTCACGATGACTCAAATGAAACTCACTCTCAAGTCAAAGCTAGAGTGGGGTGTTCAACAGCAAGGCTTGGGAGGTCTGCATGCACAGCAAATAAAGCAACAAGCACCTTTCCCTATGGTGATTTAAATAAAGCATCCCAGAAGAGAGGAAAAAGTCTGTAAGTCAACAAGAAAGTAGCCAAGAGCCTCACCAGAGTCCGCAGCCAGCATTCTTCACAGTGCACATGCCAGCACTGAATGGAAGTCAGGGGCATTGTGTAGGAGTCCTGAGGAGAAGAAGCAAACAGGTTATTGCCACAGCAGGGATCAGGTGATTCTTCGTTCCCAACCCCATCACAACGCCTTTCTTTGTGGGTAACATTGCCTTGTATTTGGTACTGCAAAAATAAGTTTGTGTAATACCTAAGTTTGTATTTTCGTAATGTTTGTACAGCAGAGGCAGAAAGTCTCCTGCAGGCCATTTTTCTGGCTTCCCAGAACTCCTGTTGGAAGCCCATAACCCACTCAAGCGGTGACCTGGCTCAGCACAGTTATCGCAAGAACATCTGAAGTTGCTGTGGCCACCTGCCATTATTCTCATCAGAAAGGTCACCAGATCATACAAAAACCAGTGATGGGGTAAGATTAACCCTTATCACAACTCTTAGCTCTGCAGGAACACCTTAACTGCATCCCAAGAATGCTGCTGCTACTTCAGCAGACATGCCTCGAGTATTTTCTATCATTGCTAATAAACCTTTGGAAATCAGCAGCAAGCTGTCGTCCCTTCTGTGGGATAAGAGACGGGGATTGCACTCCCATACCTACAAGTCGTGAACCGGGAGAGAGAGCACCATGCATCAAGCTGAAGTTGCAGAGGGAGCCCTCCGCCAAAGGGAATTTTATCCTGCTATGAGCTGAATGAAAACCGAACAGGAGATGCAAAGCTTTGCAGGCTCAGACCATCAGAGGGAGCTGCTGCCTTTCTTTAAGAAGGCCACAGCATCACCACAGAGCAAGCAGGACACTGACAACTTTTAAATGCTCAGGCAACATTTCTGTTCTCAAACCGTACGGTGAGTCTCAGATCACAGATTCTGCTCTCTCCTACAGATGTAAATCTGCACATGCAGGAAAAGGACACTGGTATCTGGGAGTTTTCTATAGAAAGGCTGAAAGTCTTCTCAAGTTGAAGCTTTCTTGCCCCTGATACAGATGGACCGCTACAAATACCAGTGGAACAATGTAATGCATACAGAAATTTCAATTGCTAAAAAGACCTAGCACCTTCATTTGGAAGGCTAAGTTGTGTATAAGAACAAAGATGAGTTCCCCCACTCTGCCCTAAAAAGAAGAAAAGCTTCTTCCCTCCTCAGCAAAGATACCAAGACATTTCTGATTCATTACCACAAGTGGAGTGCTACTCACCATGCAAATGAGACATTTATAGCGGTCCCCACGGGAAAGCTGCCTTTCTAACTCACGGACACGAGCCTTTAACGCTTCAAATGTTGTCACTGCAGAGTCTTCTGTAATTCTGCAAAAGATGATAGAGACTGAGCATCACTGAGCACACAAGATTGTTAAGAGTTCAGGGAAAAAATGATCCCACAACAGGTACTGCACAGGAAATGGCAACATTTCATCTAATATATCCAACTTGTGGTGAAAAAGAGTTCCTGAAAAGCCCAGTGTGAATTCTTTGAGGTATGCTATTAAACACTTCCAAATGCATCATGACAGAACACAACAGGGCTGGGGCTCCCAACTTCATACAGAGCAAGTTTCCGAAAGACACGGACATTTAAAGAACAGATCTTTTTGTTTGGTTGGTTTTTGTTTTCTGTTTCTTTTCCTGTCTCCCTTAAGACATTCCTTAGGACCAACTGCACTGGACAAAGTTCTGTACATTGCTATAATGCTGATGAAATAACTTTCTGTGGGCAATAGCAGCTGTTCTTCCCCTTAGAGAATGGAGGTCTTTGCTGGCCGTCAACCTTGTGAAACACAAAATCAGATCATCACACAGGATCAACACAATGTTTTTACATTAAAGAAACCCTTAGCTTGTTGGGTTCTAATACTGAAAACAAGAAGAAACCAAAAGCACTGGACACTGTGCCAACAGGGTGGCTATAAAAGCTGCTTTACAATCTCTGCTTTCCCATTTCCTAGGGTCATTTTTGATGGGCAGCATTATCTCTTTTGTCACAGAGGCGCTGTGCTGAGGGCAGGCAAGTGTATTTTCATGGTTCTGCGAGGCTAGTGAAAAGAGCAACTTGCCAACCTAAAAGCAAGGGCAGACAGCAATGCTTAGCAAATGAGATGCAGGGAGCATTATAGACAAGGATGTGTCGCTCCAGCATGCTGCAAAATCCGATTTCTACACAGTGCAGACATAGGGAGGGGCCCTCAAGCATTCCCCAGAAAAGGTTTAGAGCATTGCATCGACATTGAGGCTTTCATTCTTGTGAAAAAACAAACCAAACCAGCAATTTTCACCTATGTCAGTGAATTTCAGGCCTGTCCAAGCAGACTCCAGCTCAGAAGAACCTGAAGAGTACCTCGCCACCAGAAGCTGCATCAATCACAATAACCCACAGTGGCACCTGCGTGTTCCACCTTTTTAGAGGATGATTCATCAACAAGTGGCTGAAACACGGGTCTAGTGGAATTACTACAACCAATAAAGTGAGCTGCCATCTCAGCACTCCTGCTGCATGCACACACTTGCTCCTTTGTTCATTAGTCACTTGTCGCCGGCACGCAGGGAGGGACCTGAGGTATCTCCCACAAGGTGATTCTGCTGCTTTTCCCGAGGCTATGGAAACAGAGCTAGTCAAAAAGATCTTGAGTGATTTTTCTAATTATGACACTTCAGAAGAAACTGGAGCTGCAGGAGTGCATGTGGTTAAGTACCAGTGTTATAAAGCTCCTCCAACTTTACTCCTACCTTTGTACAGATCAGACACTCTCTGCACGAGCTAACCAAGGAGAGACCTTCATCAGAAGGAGACTCATTGCAAGTGACAGTTACTAGGAAATGGTAACAATTTTAAAATTGCAAAAAAGGCAAAGAAATACATGTGTCCCGTGATAGCCTGGTGTGTGAGGACTGTCTGGGGACAGGGACACTGTGGATTCAAGTCTTGGTATCAATAAATATTCTCTGGAGCAAACCAAAAGAGCTTCAGTAGGAGAGAGCACTCCCCGCTGTGAAACACCCACTTGCTCGTACTCATTGGTATAAATTATCATCACCTCCCGGTGTGGGTTCTCACCCTCAAGGAAGAGCTGTTAGCATTTTCAGAGAAAGTCTAGAAAGGTGTTAGTTTTGTCCAAGGAAGAAACAGAGTTATTTATTTATAGCTTGAAGGTTATTGTGGGATGAGAAAATCGTTTCCTTTCCAGTCTGGCCCATCAGCAAGCTGAGGCTGGATGAAGGCTGCAGTTGGACTCGACCTTCTGGAATCCATCCCTCCTTCCTGCACGCATAAGGGCACCGGAGGTGTAAAGGCAGGGAGTGTGGCTCCTGCCCAAAGCGGGTGGCAAGCAGAATCTCAATGCTTGCTAACTTCTCCCCTTACTATCCGTGGAGCTACCCATCCTCCTCTGAAGGGCAGGCGACTCAGCAAGGAAAGGGAAAAGTGGAATACTCGAGCAGATCCAAGCAAAGGCCAATTCATCCCCAGTCCCAGCCCAATAACAGTCAAAGCTTGAGAAGGAAAAATTTGCCACTGCAACAACTAGAGGAGATAGAAAATGGCTTGTTTATAGAAGTCTAAATGGCTGACCCCCATCGGCCAATTTCGGAAAGTCTCTGAGATAATCGCACCTGTCCAGTAATAAACGAATGAATCAGAAAAGGAGGCTGAATAGAGGTATAAGCAATAATGCTCAGAGGCTGCCTGATACAATGGCCAATCAATAGGAGGGCTGTAGATCAGGGTGCTAGTTAGCTGGAAAATTACCGCACCGCTGCGTGCGTCACGCTGTAGGGATCCTGGACAATCAATGTGGGAGGTATTGATTTAGTTATTATCACTTCATACGCTCCAGACATTGTTAAATATACATTTATTAACAAGACTGGGGTGCATTGGTAAGAGAGGGAGCTTTAGCCACTGCAATATCTCCCAGCGCTGATCAAAGCTCAGCTGTGACAGACTTTAAATTCCACGTTCTCCCTGCCAAGCGTGCTCTCAGGACAAATCCTGACGCATAGCGTAGCACTGAAGATGCAAGTCCTATCTCACAAGAGAGAGATTTTGGCCATAAGTGAGTATTTTGCACTTGAGATTTCAGGAAAGCCTCCCAGAGCAGCAGCAACCAGGGACGTGGTGGCCAAGGGTCAACCCAAAGTGAGCGATAATTGCATGGTTGCTTCCGAAAAGCTGGAGGAAATGAGGTCAAGGGAAATAGGGAGAACATTAGTAAATAAAGGAAACTGGAACTACCTCCAGGGATGGAATAAAGACAAGAGTCACTTCCCATGTGTCTGGCTCCCGTGGTGGCCAGCACACTTGGGACACATGCCATTCCATTTAGTGACATTTTACCGTCAACCTGCTGCTTGTATCCTAAAGATAAGCATCGCTTAGGAGCAACTCTTCCTGCAGCAGCAATCTTGGGAACTCCCTCAGGCTTCCCTCTTGCGTGCACACCTCGTGTGCACTTGCCCGGACACAGCTGGGAGCAGCCTGTGCAGTATTTTTACAGGGTAATGCCGGGGTGGAACGAGGGTCAGAAAGCCAGGCTCCACGGATGGGGTAAGGCTGTGTACAAGTTACCCTGCCAAGGGAGGCAGAGGGAATTACAGGGAAGAAGGAATTGGCTTCCACAGCCCTGCTCTCCCCGCTTTGCCTTGACCTCATACTGGATGTGGGAGGACTCTTTTAACAATTTTGCGCCTCAGCGCTCGGATTTGACGTGTTTGGATAACGTCATTTATCAGTCTCGGGAGAGATGTGCTGTGCACAACCGCTGCCAAGATCAATGCCTTGAGCCCCAGCGGTGGTGCTTCTCCAACCACGCAGGTGCGAGCAGCCTCGCCGATACCTGCATTGCCCTCCCTGGCTGAGAACGTATCCAGAGGGCACATCCATGCTCTACTCACTGCGGACCTCCGTCTCCGCCCCAAACAGGGGAGTCTGAGCAAGAACCTTTAAACAAAAGCAAAAACATGAAGGAAGGGCTCCTCGCAGAGGAAGCTCAGTCCTGCACTTCTCTCCAGGCTTTGTGGTTAAGTCTTCAACAACTCAGCAGTCACAGTTGAGGATGCTGTGCCGCAGGGAGCGAGTCCATGAGACCCGGCAGACAGCATGTGAGAGTTTTCAGTCTTTGTGCCCAATGTATGTTTTTCTGCCGTTCATAGCATTTTCCCCTGAGCACTGAAAATAAGAACAAACTTTCTTCCTCTCAGCAAATCCTTGCTTTGTTCAGGTAAAAGGCCAGAAAAAGGGCACAAAAATACCATGGAAGAAGAAAAAGGACCTATTTGTAGCTCTGAGCTGTTAGTCAGCAATCACCTCCTGGGAATTCTCTCCTGGGAATTGGCTGCCCCTCTCTTTGCAAAAAAACTTTAACCCAAACACTGGTTATTTGTCAAACATTAGCATGCATGTGATCTTTGTTTCTCCAAATTAAATCGAGCAATTCCTACCCGCTGTCCCAGTGGGCAATCACAAGCAATTCCGTTAATTAAATTATCTCTGATTCTGCAGCTCTGGAATCTCTCAATTGACTAAGTCTGTGCTTTATCATCAACAAAATACTGGACCAAAAAGGAAACAAAAAAATGCTGATGTCAAAGTGATTGGCTTCAGTTAACCCTTCCCAGCTGGATATTAAGGGCTGCTCAAGAAACTGTTGGACTGGAACGAGCCCAAGAGCGAGAGCCTCGTACCAGAGATACCAGTAGCAGCTGTTCGCTTGTGTTTCCTTTCCGTTGTAGTGAAAAAAACCAAAACACTACACCATCACTGCATCCAGCATCCTGCCTATTTGACAGCCACAGAAAGATGCAAACCATTAGCTGTTGAACAAGCAGAAAAACACCTCAAAGATCAGCAAGCCCCCATGAAGCACAAAAACATCTCAAAGATCAGTAAGCCCCTGTGAATATCCCGTCCTCCCCTTACCCAGATCTTACTTGATGTACCCTGCTGTTGCGGAGTCTCCATAAAACATTCCCATTTGGTTTATTTCAACTGGATATAAATTTTGCTTTCTTCATAAATGGCCACACTGTACACAGCATTCCATAAATTTTTACAATTCCGCTGTTTGTATGTACCTTGTAAAAAACGCTTAGCACTGATTAAACGCACCACCAATAAAATTTCATGGGCTACTTTTGACACTTGATATTCTGACCTTCTTCTCTCTTCCTCATACATTTATTTTTGTTTTCGTACGCTTGTAAACACAGAGCGGCAAAGGGGAAAATGTACAGTACCACTGACAAACCCAAGCACGATGTCTTTATTTTTAAACAAAGCCTTCATCTTCCCTTGTCCAAGGTGGAGAACCTGATCC